TTCATTGCGATTTGTGCAAATGTGTAAAAATCCCTCGCTTTAATTGCCTCGGAGACAGTTCGCATACGCTCAGACACAGTGGTGGCAATGCGTTTGGGCATCAGTGGAGAAGTCTGCAAAGATTGCTGCATTCCTGCCGTGCTTGAAGTGTTTTTCTTCCCCCCCTGGAGAACGGCGCACAAGACCTGCATCTCAGGCCAGTAATTTTCGTCAACAAATTGAGTTGCCACGCAATCACTCCCATCTTCTTTTTCCCCCTTATGCCAAATGACAAAACCACCAAGGGTGCTACGACAGGCACTCCCGGATCCCATTCGAGCAAGCATCGACACATTTGCAGTAGAGTTAAAGACCCGCACTAACGCCGCCGCAAGAGCGCAGTACCCACTCGCGGAAGATGCCATTCCAGCTGCGGTGGGAAAGTTGTTCTCGGAGACAATATACACCCGTTTGTTTTTTAGCTCATCAGGACACGTACTCCGCACATAGTCCAACACCGATTGAATTCGAGGCGTACTTCGCACATCCGATTTCTCTCCGTTAAGTATGAGCGTGTCTTCTTCCAAATCATCGCGAAGTACCACTGACGTTTTGGTGCGGAATGGATGAGTGGAGAGGGTAATGCTGAAGGAATCATTTGCGGGGAGAATCAGTTTCTCCCCACCCGCCCGTTTCCCCCAATATTTGATGAAGGCAATGTTGATCGGCGCCTCCACGGTCACTTGCAGGTTCGCCATCTATGTGTATTTGTTCACTGCTGCTGTTGCTGGTAGCGATAAACTGAACGGCAGCAACAACAACAACACAAAAAAAAAAAGGCAAGAAACACACACACACACACACACTTTTCCTTCCGCAACAGCGGCACAAAGGGAAAAAAGCAATGCATTTACTGCGAGGAAGCCGGCAAGTTGAAGCTTCGAAGTGCTGCCGTATTATTAAATGCACGGGGTTATCGTCATAAGACTGATAGACAAAAAAAGAAAAAAAAATCAGAAAAAGCCACATTCTACCATAAGCCTAACCCTTCCCTCTGTTTGGCACATGTGCAGAGCTTTACAAATTCATCCAACGCGAGACGAGTAAGTTGTCACATCGTTTTCAATTTAAGCACGACTGAAGCACATTCATGGCTTGAATGTGTGCGGGGTTATAAAACAGAGAGAGATCGGGTGGAAGCAGCAAGTCAGCCGATGCGTCTTCACCCCAATTGTACACGGATAGAGGCGATAATGCCTCTTCGGCGTCACACTCTAAACGGGTACGTTTTGTGGAATGAGTTGCAGCCTTACTACTCCCACCTCCGTTCAGAATTTGCAACGCGTAAATCACGTCATCCTCATGAAAAAACTCCACGACGGTTCGAAAAAAATGCCCATCGGGGGATACACTAAAAGAATAATCCGTCACTGGCCCAATGTGCCGGGTAAATTTCACGATTAGGCTCGCTGGGTCAAGAAGGGTCATGGGTATTTGTACGGTATTGGCAAGGCGTCTGCTTCGTCTCAACTCTGGGCTTCTGTCATTTTCAGCCTTGTCATTACTTCCATTTACCACAGAACCGGATGACTTGTTATTTCCCCAAAGAAGCTGCTTAACCTCTTCGTCTGCCTTTTGAATATTTAATTCGGCTGCCTGAATCATTTCCTGAACTTGGCAATATGACTTTTGCAGTTGGCATAGTTGCTGAACGAGGTCGTGTTGCTCGCTTCCCTCAGCGGCAGCCGACAGCAGCGTCGGTATACTGTCAACAAGCGGCGTATCCATCCGCAGATCGGAAGGCATGCGATGATTGAACGGAAGATTTGGATTTTCCACTGCCTGCTGCTCCTCCTTTTCTCCCTCAGGATGTGTGGTTTCTTCCGCGTCAGCCTCCATCGGAGTTCGCTTGGTGTAGACGCTCGAAAAGATGCGGACGACATTGTTTTTCAGCTTCTCCCCGTCAAGGTAGTTCACCGCCAGCTGCGCCGCGAACCCGTGTTTAAAGCGCAGCCAATAAAACCGGCACCGCCGCGCCGTGTCGTACTGCACCTTTGCCTCCTCAACATCATCAATGATCCGCAGCCAGTCGTGCACGTCTTCTATGAGGACGACCGATGGATCTTCTACAAAGACATGAACTACTCTTGCATCCTCCCTCGTCGCCATCTTCCGCTACGGCAGTCAATAACAACAACAACAAACCAATTCCCCGCCTTCCCTTCCTTCCTACCAGCAAAAGCCCCCCCATGAAATCCCACAGAACAAAGAAGTATGCGTAGGCTCGTTTGTAAAAATAAAAGTGGGAAAAAAAAAAACGGGGATGGGGAATATCTTCAATGGGAAGCACAGCACCCAAACGTAAAGGATAATAATAATAATTAATATTTTTGGTTCTCCCCTCCCTCCACTATAAAAAATTGGGGACGCCACACATTTTTATTTTATTTTTCTTTAAGGGGGGGGGGGGGAAATCCTTCCAAGCAACGTGCACGATACTCATCGTACAAGCGACAGAATTAATTAAAGAAAAACAAAACAAAACAAAAACAAAAACAAAAACAAAAACAAAAACAAAAAAAAGAAAAAAAGGAGGGGGTGAACCGATTAACAGATAGCTCTTGTTTTTAGGTGCAGCGGATTTTTATCCCATACAGATATATGCATTACATATTTATATAAAAATTGTTCAAAAAAAATTTTTTTTTTTTTTTTTGAAACCATTTTATGTGGTTTCGTTCAATATATTAATTTCCCCTTTCTTTAATTCACTTTTCCCACTCATTTTCCTTCTCTTATTCTACCCTCCTCTCGGTTCTTCCATCTGCAATTAAAAACCCATTATTCGCACCACTGCCGCAGCTCGTGTCCGCGTGTGTGCGCCATGTACACCTATGTATCATTTTTATTTTCTAAAAAAAGATTTTTTTTTTTTTACTTTTTCTTTTGTTCTTCTTCTTCCTTTTATCCTTTTGCGCTGACAAGTCGTACATCATCGCTTCGACACATCACCACCACCACCACCACCAGCAGCAAATGCAAAAACAAGTGGCCTCGCAACGTCATGTCTTCTTATCCCACTAACGACAGACCGCTACTGTCGGAAAGCGATTCAGCACGCCGGTAAGCACGCCATAAACGAAAATACACGACAAGCCAACATGGCACCGACAAAAACATCATGGAAAAAACAACCAGAAGCGCGTTACGCAGTTGATATTCATTGACACAGTGGCCAGAAGATGCATCGTCTGTGTTATTTACCCATCGACAGTGGTTGCCGGTGTCAAGATCGCACAAAGAGATATTATGCAGCGGACAACCTTTCGAGAAAACGTGATCTGAAAGAAACCCTGCAAAAGTCGGGGATGGAAAGTCGCCTAGTGCGTGAATGAGAAAAACAGAGTAACTTACTGCATACGCTTTCAGTTCAGGTGGCACCACGTTCATAATTGCCGCGTTCACTGGTGCGGTCACCATAAATAGAGCAAACACGGAGAGAGTCAGTAAAAAGGTGAAGCCAACAATATTCTCCAAAAAAAATGCCGCGATACCTAATGCGACAGACAATAAAATTAAGAGAATAAGAAGCAATTGACCACGAATTAAGTTCAGAGAACCGGAGGTTCCTCCAATTTTATCAAGAACAAAACCCCCTGCAACAGAGCCCAATACACCGGTAAGTGCGGTCACTCCACCCAATATCAATGAGGCGTTTATGTATGAAAGCCGCATTTTTCCTTGAATAAGCATGGGAATTCCCCAAACAGCAAAAGCACCAACAACAAAAGAATACATCGCATATCCAAATACAATTAATAAGTAATTTAGGTTCTTTATCAAGATCCACGTTGCCTTGTGCAAGGAGTAGTATTCCGTTTCATCTGAGTCTGAACGTAAATTATAAATTGAGGGTAAAAAAGCATTCGCCAGCACAATGGGTATGGAAGCTAGGACTTCAGTGAAAAAAACAATACGCCACCCTTGCGTAGGTCCTATTGTACCCAGAGAGCCTACAGAACCACCGACTACCATGCCAACTGCAGTTCCCACAGGTATCATGGAATAAAATGTACCTATCCACAATGTGCGCGAACCCGATGGGGCAATACGATCAATGGTGGTAACTGTAAACCCCACAAAGGCCGCCTCACCAACACCAACAAAAATTCTGCATACTAAGAGAGCTGCATAAGTGGTAGCCGAGCCCGTGCCTACACATGCGATAGCCCAAACTACCATGCCTCCTACAATAATCCATTTGGACGGCACAATTCCACCAAAAGCCGCAAATAAGGGGCTCGTTGTCATGTACCCAATCATAAAACCAGAAACAATAAATCCAACCTTCGTGTCGGTTAAGGTTTTTGAATCACCGGCTATACTTTTGTCCCCCTTAATGCTTGCCAGAGAGCCGGAGAGGGCTCCACGATCGTAGTATATAATGAAGTTCAGCGCGGTGAAGATGGCCAAAACAAATCGTGGGGTCAGTATCCGCTCCAGGCGAGGCCTTTGCTCCTCTACTAACGCGGCATCCGCACATTCCGCTTGATCCTGCTCGGATGAATTCACGGGCACATTAAAACTTCGTTCTTCTTCCTTTTGATGCGGAAACGTTTCATTCAGCATTTCCTTCACGACACCCACAAGCGTAAAAAACATGACAAGCCAAAAAAAAAAAAAAAAAAAAAAAAAAAAAGAGAAAACCCAGCAGTAGTCGGTGAATTAAAACGACACCAGACAAAAGCCACACAATGCCCAATAATAATAAAAGAAAAAAAAGCGCCTCTCCCTCACTCATCCCCAAAGAAAAAAAAAAAAAAAAATGGCTTGCCACGACAGAAATCAAAACTTTCGCCCCCCCCCCCCCCCGCAAAAAACAAACGAATTTAACAATAATAATAACAACAATAGAAATAAATGAAAAGCCCACGTAATAGAAGACAAAGCAAAAAAAAAAAAAAAAAAAGAAGCATGGCCCTATAATCACTTTTTCACCAAAAATAACCATCGGAAGGAAATTAAACAGATGTAATGGCCTTCAACGCGTGCAAAGCCGAGGCAACGCTACTTGTCTCGGGCAAAATATCCACTAGCGTCCAGGCGACATGGACCCACTGTGTCTGTTTTACTGTCTCGGTAAGATGAAGGTAAAACACGGAATTGTTCCATGCTTCCACTGTAAAGTATTCAAGAAACAGCCGCGCAAAAGACAAGGGATGATTATTAACCGTCCGCACTGTATTTGAATGGTAATCCTTGATGAGGGAAGCGACTGTCACGTCCTCCACAGCTAGTGAAAGTATTTCCATAAGCCGCTGCACCACAGTCAATTGTTCTGTGCGATCAAAAGCAAGTGTAAAACATTTATAAAGACACGAAAAAGCATCTGTAATGTACTCCAAACATTTTTCGGCATTGTTGTCAGCATCTTTCATGGAGGTAGAAATCTCATTCATTGCCACTGACACAGCTTGCATATAAAGTTTTATGGTAACTCCGTGGAGGAAAGGATGTTCCGACGCGTATTTCAAAGCAATAAAGGATGCTCCGTTCGCTATTGCCTCGTAGTCCTCAAACGTCACACTTATATTGGACAATTCATCCAAAATTCTCTGTATTTGCTCTGGTGTCTCTGAAGAAGGCTGACGAAGATGTCGCTCCGCCTGAGACAGCAAGACCGTCAGACGGTAATTTACCTCAGGCAGAGATGAGACAAATTCTTTACACAAACGCAAATGCTCCTCTAACTCACAAGAATCAATTTGTGGAATACCAGTTGAAAAGAGTTGAAACTCATCCTCTAACGTACATAGAAGTCCCGAAATGAGGAATGTGCGTGATGGAACTTCACCGGGGACGGGATCTTGTAGAGCAATGAACGTGGCCGCGCGAAACAAATAAACACTAGTGGGACCAGGACCAACTGTGAACTCTAAACCAAGCACAAGAAACGCCTGCGCCCACCAACTCACTTCCTCATGAGATAAAGATATCGTGGCACATTCGTCCGAAAGTAAACTCCGAAAACGCTCTGTAACCACACGCAGTTGATCATCTGTGCAGTTACAGGCTTTACTGAGCAAAGAAGCCACGTACACCCGTAGCAACTCAAGCTCTGTTGAAGGGTCAGGCACGGGAGCTGAGAAAAACACGGCTCGAGTGATCACCAGAGACACACCGGGAAGGTAACCAATTCTCAGGGAGTAATTAATGGCTGTACAGAGAGCAGGCATTACCAATTCGGTCGGCTCACACAGTAACAGCAAATTCAGTTCCTTTTCCAATTCCGCCTCGTTGGACTCTAGAACCGCAATCTTAATCAGCAAACTGTGAGCAAAGACGCATTTTGGGTTTCGATGTGAGGCATAATCCACAAGAATGTTCTTTGCCTTCATTAACACGACAGATGTTTGTCCCCCACCCTCGGATTGTGTGATATATTCTGTGCAGAGACGAAGGTATATGGCATCAACCTCGGCTTCACTGGCACAATCTTTAAATTGCAAAGCCGATTCAAGGCATTCCACAATTTGCAAGGGGGAAAACCCAGCCATATCCGCCAGTTCCCAAAGCCACACAAAACAATAGCGGCGGTATCGAGTCTCTTCAAAGTCTATACCTTCATTCTGTAAAATCTGTAGCGCCTCTTTACATGAGGCAAGACTCCCATTATGGAGTAAAAGTTGAACAAACCGAAAGAGAACGCTTTCACTGCATGTATTGCCTTTGGTTTTCTTGTAAAGCAAACGCATGCCCTCAATGGAACCGTCTTTTCTGCTCACGAGAAGATTGTGAAGCTCAAAACACGCCGCCACTGCGTCATCCACGGAAACATCTGATCGTTGAACATACTGGTGGAGTAGCACAATGGCCTCTGGTTCCATGCCCGCTTTTGCGGTTGCTGTAAGGCGCAGCAACGCGGAGGTGTTTGAATGAAGTGTGGTGTCCGCTTCCACAGCCCAGCTCAAGGCCTCTGTCGCTTTCTCTTCGCGGAGCCATGAAAGAGCCATTTGTTCCATCGTGGCACCACGGAGTATCATCACATGATACGATGGATCATTTGTCCCCGCTCTCTGGAAGTGATTCTGCATCTCCATCGAACTATGAAGCATGTCACGAATATATTGTTCATC